GTGGAGGAGACGGGAGCGGTGGCGGTGGCAGCAGCGCTGTTGGCGGCAGAAGCGGAGGCAAGGGCGGAGCTGCAAGAGCTGTCGGTGGAGGAGGGGGTAACAACCTGGCCCTGGCCATCGTAGTTGCAAGCAGTGCTGGCGGACTTCTGGGCCTTGTAGTAGGTGTCCATGACGAAGGCGAGCTTCTGCTCGTCAGTGCACATGGAGTAGGCGCCGTAGACACCGGTGGTGGTGTTGGTGTTGATACCGCGGCAAGAGTCGGGGGAGGCACCGCAGATGTAGCCGAAGATCTCGCCAATGGCAGAAGCCTTCAGGCCATCCTTGGGGGTGCAAGAAAGAGACTTGACCATACACTCGCAGAGAGAACTGTCAGGGGTGGGGGGAAGGGCATCGCCGTGAACCTCCCAGGTGGAGGAGGTGCCAGGGCACTCAGCGGCCTTGTTGGTGGGCGAGTAAGAGGCCATCTGAACGGCAGCGGGGGTGGCAGCAAGAACACGGGAAGCAAGCTGGTCGTAGTTCTTCATGGTCTTGGCGACACCGTTGTTGATCTCGACGAGACCGTAGTCGTTGGCCTCCTGGTGGTACATGTAGACGATACCACCAGAGAAGACGTCAGTCATCTCCTTCTCGTACAGAGCGGTGGTCTCCTGGAAGATACGGCCATCGGCACCGTCGGGGATGTTGCAGCCGTACTCGGCGAAGAAGACGGGGACGGAGTAGTTCTTGAAGAAGTCGATCTGGGTGGTGTAACCGGCACCGGCGAGGGTGTTCTTACCGCACCACGAGTAGATGTTGTAACCCCAGAAGTCAATGGCGGTCTCCTGGTCACCGCAGTTGAAGTAGTGGGCCGAGTTGGTGCGAATGTCAGCGTCGTCGTTGGCGGCGTAGCCAACACCCATCCAGCGGTAACCCTTGTCCTTGATGTGCTTCTTGGAGTCACGAACGGCAGCCTTGACGAAGGCGGAAGCCTCGGTGTTGGTCTTGTTGTTGGAGACCTCATTACCGGCGAAGAAACCGATGGTGTTGTCGTACTTGGCGAGGGCATCGATAACGGCAGTGTAGCGGTCGAGGAGCTCGGTGTTCCACTGGGCGTTGTCACGGTTGATGGAGAGCTTGGGCTCACCCAAGTCGGAGACGACGTAGATGCCGGCGTCGCTGAGAAGCTTCATGCAGGCGTCGTGGTTGTTCTTGGGGTCAATGGCGTAGGTTCGGATGGTGTTGGTGCCGGCCTTCACCATGATAGGAACGTCACGCTTGCAAGCAGTCTCGTCTGCGAGGGGATCGTTGTAGTCGCCAGTCTTGGACTCACCACCGGCGGCGGCGGTGTCCTGCTGGTAGGCAATACCCTTCATGTAGAACTGGGTGCCGTTCTCGTAGAAGAACTTGGAGCCCTGTTTTGAATTGTTAGTGATGCATGTCAGGCTTGGTGGGGGTGTGTGATGGCATCATACCTTCATGACGATAGGGTCGAGAGCAGCGGCGTTGCTGGCAAGCAGCAGAGCCGCGGAAACGGCGGCGGCGACCTTGCCCATTGTGATGGTTGTGTTGTGTGATTTGTGAGTGTTCGGTACGTGTGGTCTGGAGGATCTTCTCTGACGGGCTTGTCGTCGAGGTTGTTGTCGGGAAGTGGGAAGTGACGTTTAGTTGTTTTTGTCTTTCCTGAATATCCGATCCAAACGGTCTGAAAAAGGTAGAAATAATTGGTTGAGCTAACGAGAGTGCGAAGTGGTTTGTTGTTGATTAAAAGAATAGGGTTTCAGAGACAGTGACACATTCAAAAAAGGATGAATAGGGCCTTGTCTACTAAATTCCCCTACAAGAAGAAACGATTGCGGATAGCAAGTGAGGGAGTGGACGGGTTTGGAGGAAACACGGAGAGGAGAAAGGAGAATCAAGAAGTCAGAGATTCTGTGACGGGAGGGAGGCGCGAGGTAGAAAAGCAGAAACACGCCCTGGAATGTGTGGTTAAGCCCCACCGGGTACGAAGTGAGGTACTTGCTTCAAGTATCCATGTACCTGAGTACTTGTGGATGTACGTAAGGTACCTAAGGTAGGTAGGTACCTATCTCTTCTCAAGAATGGGAAAGAGCAAGAGAACTGAACCTGCCTGCAATTGCTGCGTACTGCGTACAGTGGAAGGAGTGGACGGTGGAAGGAAGACACAGAGGATCGACTGGTGCAATGGTGAGGCAGGCACCGGCTAGACCACCACGGCGTTGAGAAGGCAGGAAGCAACGGCGCGGAAGGCGTAAAAAAGGTACCTTGAACAGACAGGGAAGGAAGGACCGGGGTCATGGATAACCCCCAGGGGCAAGAGTGAAGGAGGGGCAGGGGTGACCCCTTTCGGTTTATCCTTACTGGCAAGCTTCTTCTGCTAGCCTGTTGCTTCCTCTTGCTTCCTCCAATCCTCCCCCCCCCCTTGCCCTCCTCCCAAAGTCTCTTTCCTCCACTCCTCCTCTCTAATCTCTTGGTATTTTTTACTCTTTTTTCTTGTGACCGTCCACTGTTCAGCATTCATCTAATTTCGCTCTCTTCCAATTCATTGAACAATCATCCCCGTATTCGATGCGCAAATTGGATCCCCTCGTGAATACTCCGTACATACGTGCGCTACCGTCTCATCGTACCAAACACCAATACGTGCATCTCTACATTCAGCAATTGATGCCGCTTATTGGATACACCATTAGCACACACATTCAGACAACAAGACCGCAGGCGCGAATAGCCGGCGCGAGAGCGAGGCGCAGCCGTCTTAGCACCATTCATACATTGCCTGCCTGCATCTTCATTTCCATTCTTTTGGACGAGACGAGCGAAAGAGAAAGATGCGACGGTACGGATACCTGAAGCCACTGCGCGACACTATTGAATCACGAGGTACCTGCACATGTGCCAAATTAGCACTTGCACTCAACATGCATCTGCCAACCGAACCTACCTTACCTTACTCCGTACTTGAGGAATGTCTTATTACCTAAGAACCTTCTTCTCCGCGCGAAAGAAGAGGAAGAGAGACGAGAGAGGCGAGCGACTAGATACGTACCCTGGATGCACGCCGGGAACCGCCTGGGCCATGTTCATCTCGTTTCAAGGTTGTGAGAGACTTGGCACAGTGTGGACAGAGGTCCATCCAAATCACCCTATGACGTCCGATGAAGTACTAACGTCTTCTCAGGAATCTACCACCTAAAGCTGTTATAGCTTCATCTTCACTGCATCTCTCCTTGACGACTCTCCTTTCGACGCCATCTCGAACCAACACAAACACACTGCACCAGGGCACCAAGGCACCATTACCACGCCCCCAGTTCACACTGTAGCCGCTGGGGCCACGGTCCACCGCCTCATCCACCAAGGCCGTTAGTGAAATAGCGAGAAATAGGGGCAATCTCCACTCAAGGTGAGCTTCGGCCTGGAGAACCGGCTGACCTTCCAGACCGGGACTTGCGGACGCCGGGCTCATCTTCTCACAACCCAGCCGCCGCCCCTCGTCTGGTCCATCACAGGCTCATAGCTCGTGGGTGTGCCACCAACGCACCGGCCTACCAGAACCAGTGAACCCCTCCAGCAAGACGCCGAGATGCTCTAGCCTCTACGGAGTAGGTCCTAGACGAACTGAATTGGAGGCTATCGTGTGCCGCCAAGCGTCAAACATCACCATCTTTGGTCTCAACAGATAAACCAAGAACCCTTCAACCTGGATTGCCAAGAGGTCATTCACCTCTCAGCATTGGCATTTCTTGTCGTCCGTCCTCTGCGCCTCACTATCTCATCACATCCCGCTGTCAAGTCCCGCGGCGCATAACCAGACAGAAAGTCAATTTCACTTCACAGGTTCCCCTTCGCCCAGCCACTGCCCAGCGCGCTCTTCTCCCTCAGGTCTGCCATGGCAAGCTCCCACCGACTCTACCTAGCCCAATCCAACATGCTTGGAATGAACACGGCAGCGATCTGAAAGAATTTTTCAACCTCATCTGCCACATACGGATACATCTCCTTGTTGGCAGCACTGCAATCAACTCCCGGCATGGTTTTTCTTGTTATCTCCACCGTAGCCAACTCGACTGTCAATATCAGCCTCCAAGGTGTCACTCGCCAAAGGCCCAAATCTCCAGTGAGAACCACAGATAATGTTACAATGGGTAATTCAATACTCTGTGCAATGCAGGAGCAGAACAACCCAGAGAGCCAGGCTCCCAGCAGATGCGTCCACGTCGACGGAAGTACTCTGTACACAGTCTGACCGCAGCGGCGGTCCAGACCTTCAGGCCAATCATCCCACTATTCGTCTGTTCTCCCAGTCATCCCACACCATCCATTCATGATCCATCAGGCTTGCAGCGCTTGGCTGTTGCTGTCTCGCAGCACTCGAACCCAGACGGACCGATGTTTCTGGCGAATGTCCCATGACAAAGCGCTGCGCAATCTGCTCGTATCCTTGCTTGACGGATGCCTCACTGCTGAGCAAATGCAAATCAAGCTGAGCTAGCCAACGCATGACGGACAGCTTCACCACCAGCTCGGGACGGACGGGGGCCGACCGAACTCTCCGAATTGACTGACGACGAAGCAGCGCATCGACAAACTGTCAACCACAGCCCCAGAGGCAAAACTTTCATATCGCCGCCAATACGAGGAGGCTTGGAGGCACACCTACAGGCTGTGTGGGTGTGCTACTTCTACACAGTGAAGACCTTTAGTTCCGACCAGTAGTGCAGTCAGCGCTAACCGCCATGTTCCTTGACTCGACGGGGTTTTCCAGTACTGTCTCGGTGCTGGCAGCATCCATACTGGCAGCGTATGTATCCGTATGGGCACCTAATACTCGCCAGTTGCCAACTTGCAAGAGCAACAAAAATAGGACTGGCGAAGCGGGAGTCCAATTAACTCTCTTTTGGTATGGCCTACCTTAAGTTGTTTACTCTAGGCCTAGCGCCAGGCTTAAACGGCCCAGACATCCAGAGTCTCCAGAAGGGAGCCAGAGGGGCCCGGTCCGAATGTCGGATGCGCTGTTGGCATTGGTTCAAGGCCCAGCATCAAACCATCAAACCCGGTCGTGCGAATCTCAATCTGGAATCACTTTTATGTACTGCGTACTACGTATGCTCGCCGCCCCGATTTTCCAACGACAGAATTGTGGTTTATGTGGGCTTCTCGACACTGGTTCATCTGCCGCCGCGCAGGAAGCCAATACGATGGACAAACGATTTGCTTGCTTTTTCTTCACCTGTCTTGCGTCTCGTTTCTCCCCGAGGATGGGCCCTTTGGCCCGTTCATCGGTACAATGTGCTGTACGGATACTGGACGACGTGACCCGTTTATCAGAATTCGAGAGTCACCAGAGTCTTGCTGGTTGTAAATTCGGATCTTCTATTCTATGGCTTCCATGCGACGTGGTCTGCGGCAGTGCAACTCCAACCAAGCATTTCCTTCCCGTACCGCATCCGTCTGCTATTCTTGTTGATAGTCGACAGAAGATCGTTTCGGTGTCGCTCGCGCCCCGTTTCACACCCATTCAGATGATCTAAATCGCAAAAGGCGGCCAACCATCCCACTCGGCTATCATCCCGCGGCCACCCAGCGGGATCACCGTCCGCCATGTCCGCAGCTCCCGCGTTCTCGATATTCTTTCCTCGAATTCTCGCGCCTTATCCTCATTCCTAACCAAGGGCAAACCCTCGTTACCTATCTCCCCCCGGCTCGCCCGCCCAGCGACTGTCTCCCTTTCCCTCCCGGCGTCACCAAAACCTTGAGCCTTGAAGGGGCCCACTCTGGCAGGATGATCCCCTCAAATCCGTGTCAAGTTGATGGGGAACCACTGAATCCGCCTCCAGCTGAACTATCTGTCACAGTGCCAAGAGATGGACACAGCGTTCTAGAGTCTGCGGCGCTGATCGAGATTTTCCCAGGCCCGACGTCATCGGTGGGCGGGTTGTCGATGCCAATCTTGCTGTTCGCCCAAGCGGGTTGTTTCTTTCAATCTGGTCTAATCTGGCCTTCCTTGTCGGATTGGCTGGTGAATTATGGTTGGATCCTGTCAACATTTCTCGATGCCAGCCTGTGGTTCCCTAATGTTGCTCTCGGGATACTCGAAATGCTTGATTCCTCCACCCCGGTGCTCCGTCGTTCATCTTCTCGTCTCCGGTTGTCGTTTGTCGTTAATCATTAGGCGCGTTATTCGTTTACTCGTTACTCATGTGTTGTTCGTCATTCGTCACTACTCGGTGGGCCGTCAGGGCTATACTGGAATGCGATGATGCATCCATACGTCTGCCGGCCCTGTCGCCTGCCCCGCGGCATATCACCATCTGCCGGTGATCTTGAAATAGGCCTTGCCTACGCCGTAGCAGACCCCATCCCAGACCTCGTACGTCTCGCGCCAGACGGTACGGAGCGGATTGCGCCCCGATGGGCGGCCTGATCTGCCATTACGCTGGTATTGATTGACAGTCGTCATTGTAGCTTCTCGTCTCGGTCTCGTGATTTGCTTTGGTGCTTGTGTTTTTGATATTCGGTTTGTTCACACGATACTCAAAAGCCCATTCGCATTCACATCATGAGCAGCCCCTCTGCTTCATTAAATACGTCTGGGCAAAAGCTGCCTCATCTCACAAAAAGTCTGCCTACATCTTGGCGGCTGTCACCCATCGCCAAGGTCATTGGTCGACCCTGTCAGTCGCCCGTCTTGTCACCCGGCGGCGCGGCCATCACGAGCGCTCCCGCACAGCCCGCAGCGCACCGCCGCCCGCCCGCCTGACAGCCGTTCCATTTGTAGTACGGTTTGCACCTGGCCCTACGCTGGAACTTGAGCTAAATGGAACGAACCCGCCTCGCCGCTGCGGATGGCCGCTGATACTACCTACCTACCTTACTACAACGTGCAAACTTAACCGCTGACCAAACACAATACAGAGAGCAGCCGACCGGGAGCTGCCTAAGGAACACCCACTAGGGGCATCTCACGGATCCTAACGGCTACCACACGCGCTGATCAAGTGCCTAGTTCGACTCATTTCTGACCACGGAGAACATCACCTTTGCGCCCAGCGTATGTTAAGGATCCTCCGGTCGGTCTGGAAGGGAAAGTCTTTGAGTGGCTCGCTTCTGCGGCAACAGGTACAGCGCGACGTTGAATTTCTAGTTAGGGGATTTTTGGCTGTGGCGCGGGTTCATATCGGGCGTCACTGCGCTCACAATGACGAGGACTCGCTCATCCTCTCACTCTAGTTTGATACCACATGCAGAGGATAAGCAACTGGATGTCTAGGCATACGTTGAAGTAAGCCTCGCCAGAGGCTGCCTGTAGATGTATGCGGGTGTGTCACACACCCATGTTTCTGTGCTAATGTCTCACGGCCCGCGGACACCGACAACCCTTCGGCCCCGTTCAATCCTCCGCGTGCTGTGTTTCCAGTCGGCACTAGATATGATTTGTCTTGCCTGCCGTGCATTGCCCACCCATTACTCCGCTCTCATAGGCCTTTTGGAAACGGGTTGTGACGATGAGGAGGAAGGATGTGATCTGTGAGACCTGTGGGCGGCTGGGGCGCTGGTCTCACTCGTCTACCAGAAGATTGTAGTTGGAGGAGTACCTAGTTGTTCTGCGATGTCACGGGTAGGCAAAAGGTCAACAGGCGGCTGTCGAACATTTGCCACCGGCGTTTGTCATGTCATGTACCCTGTTTAGACCGTAGGTTTGGATGAGTGAACGATACAGATGTCTGTTGGCTACCTAGAGACAGACTACTGCCTCATGATGATGGTATGTATTCCCTCTCGCCACCATTCGTGCAAGTCTTCTGATAGCTCTGTCCAAACGCAGCCGATGGCCGATGTTTGGCGATTGCCGTAATGCCTTGCCCTTCAAAAACTCATCCACAAGCGTCATGCTTGCTCATCTGGGCAAATTCCTGTACATATCTCGCAGTTCCTTCCTTTCGTATCCGTATCTTGCCCTAAAGCACATGAACAGACTCTTTCTCGCTAGTCCACGCATTGATCAAAACGATAATGTAGCAATCTCTGAAATACTGGTGAGAGGTGTCAGCATTCCCGAGCGTTTTGCAAGTCGGAATGGATGGAACGAACGAGGGTATTCGAAGCAAGTATGTTTGTAAAAGTCACATCTGTAACAGCCATGTTGTCTTTGGACGAACGTCGAGTGCAGGGCCGCTCACTCGAGACGGATTCTCTTGGCAGCTGTCCGACTTGTTAGCTTCAAGGCAAAGAGGAAGGAGTAGGAGTAGGAACTGGAAGCTTACCACGCTCGCCGCCATCAGTAATCTTGATCAAGATCTTGGTCTCTCCAGCAGAAACCGCGATCTCGACAGGCTTGCTATTGTTGACGGCCTTGGCGTCGGCTTCCTCGGTAGGCGTGCTATCGAATACAGTCACGATGGGGGACAAGCGCAACTTCCGGCGCGGCTTGTAGGGCTTCTTGCTCGGCGTGGCAGGAGGCGTGAGCATCAAGTCGTCCATCTTCTTGTTCTCGCCCTGCTTCTGAAGGAACTTGTCGTGATGGTCTCGGAAGATTTCGTTGTGAACGTACTCACAACTCTTGGACTCCATATGCTGAGCGAACGGATCGTCCTTGCGCTCCCACGCCCACGCTTGCATGGTACAGAAATCGCAGACGACGATGTCGCCTCCGACTTCCCCGTTGCCTTCGAAGCGATAGCCAGCGCCTGCCATGTCCTCGGGAGAGGGAAGCGAGTGAGGCCAGCGGCCGGGCTTGCCGTCCATGCCGCGGTCGAAGTAGGAGAGGAGACGAACGCAGAATTCGTCCATATTGATGCCGAAGTCTAAATGATGGCTGAATTGAGTGAAGTAGCTCGAAGGACGCGAGCAAAAGAGGATTTTGGAGAGCTTGTAAAGATTGCTATACGATATGGCTCGCAGCGAAAGTGGTTGAGTATAAGAGAGAGTGGGCGATGATGAAAAAGCTGGGAGTAATTCGAGGCAAGTAGAGGATAGAAAAGGAGAAATAATCTTTTTCAGAGTAGAAGGAAGAAGGGGTGCTCTCGCCAGTTCTGTTAGTTGACTTTCTTTCTGCGGGACAGAGATGAGGCCTCGTGATACAACGAGCAAGAGTGTGAGATGAGACGTGTTCAAAAATGCCCTGGGAGAGACAAGATGGGTCTCATCAGTACTGTCTCTCAATAAGGTGTCCGGGCAAGAGGCTTCCTTCCACCGGCCCCAGGATTCACCTGCTAGCCCATGTTGAAGGAAAACTGACAGTACAGAAGGCGTCAGAGTACAAAGATACCATTACTATCGCTGGCTGGTTTTCTGTGACCTCGATTCTTCGACTTCTCGGCTTTGTTATTGGAAATGTTAAACATAAAGACGTTGTGAAGTTGAGGCTTGAGCCATTGCAACGCAACCTTCTTTGTCATCACTGTCTTGAGTCTTATCAAAGCAACGGAAGAGCTATGAGAGAGTAACCTACTACTACAGACAAATTTTGCTCACCTTTTCGATAGTGAAGCATGGCCGCCCTGGACCATTCCATAGGGAACTTTACAACACAGGACCAACGGCTCCGAATCCTGCTCTTGGGGTGGGTTTACCTTGAAGAGGTGCCGCTAAAGACCATTCATTCCTTTTGCCGTTGCGTCGTTCCTGGAAACATAGGCAAAATGGATCATCATGGGCAATCTATCAGTACAACTTCATACCCGTGGCACCGTCATATGATACATCATCTCCTGGTTGCTGTCGGTCACCTCAATTGCCCTGATGCTTCAACATTCATACACTCGAAAATGGAAATCTTAAGTACATTGTTCAAATATGAAGATATTCTATCAGATCAGCGCCAACGCCACAGATGCTCCCAACCGATATTCGCTTTCCCCTTCGAATACGAGGCCAACGAATACACTCCAACATACAGTCCGCTATGAGTTTCTTAAGATGTATCAAACTGCACCGAAGGCCTCTCCTACCGCTGCGTAGGAGTCTTTCTTATACTTCAGCCAGTACTCGACCGCTGCAGACCCTGTGACAATCACCATGTCCATATCGATGCTCTGTGGCGGGACGTAAACCTCAAATGTCGGGGCTGACTGTCCAATCATGCCGCTTAACCTGCCTTCAGGGTACCTTTTCCATGTCGCCAGCAGGTTGCCCCCGGCATCCTTCAGATACATCGTGTTCATTGACATGCTCAAATTGGAGACACCCCAACTGTAACTTATACCATGGTGGTCGAACCTGTGTGTGTTACCCATAGTGTTGGTCTTCATCTTGATCGGCACGCCGCGGAGAATGACGTCGATTCTTGAGGACAGGGAATGGTATTTCGCTATACCCAACGCTTCACCCGACGCTTGCGCGCGGGGATCTGCATGTAACACGGCAACGGTTTTGTTTTCCTTGTTGCTGTGAAGGACGTAGAATGGTGTTGTAGAACCGGTTGCGAGATCGACCCGGTCTATCATTGTTTGGGCACCACCCAGTCGTTCCACCTGGCGGAGGACCTCGCAGGGCGAGCCGGACGGCGTGGGCGTTGCGTCGCAGCCGGTGCTCATCATGTTGTGTGATTTCTGGTTGTGCGGATCGATGCGTTTGTCGACGAGGGAAACAAGTTCATACATTTCAGAGTCGGTGCAAAGGATGTTGCCTGTATCGTAGTTATATAAGAAAGATGCAAAGCTATCTTGCTCGGTCTTGCTCATTGATGATGCTAGTTCTTGCTCCGCTGCTGTGGGGATCTGACTGCGCTTACAATCAGGGAAGAAATAAGCATAAATACTTCCTTTGCCCAGACTCGGAAAGCCGCAGGGTCCAGCTGCTCTGCCTTGTGCATCATGGGAGCTACTTTAAGCTCGAAGAGGGCAACGGGAAACGACTTCAGTTTTCCTAATGTAGCAAGCCAAGATACTATCTCGTGGCTTGACGTCGCTGATCTTTGGCCAACGCTTTTGCCTATCAGGGCTAAATTAACGTGGCGCAGGGTCTTCCAGCTCTCTCACACACCTCATAGGTCCCGCGAGAGTCGCCGGGATCGCTAGAGTCCTTGTTGTTTGCTCATTCGCTCATGGTGTGAAGCCTTAGGCGCCTGGCAATCGGCCTCAGTGACTTGGCTTGCGGCACAGGATCCGTCAGATGACGTGTGGTCAGCGGCTCTAATGCCACATTCCATGGATCGGCTAGGAATCGTCACCCTAAAGCCACATCATTCTTTCAAAAGGCACTCTGTCCTCAACTTCACTTTTGAAAAGCTGAAGCTCTAACATCTTTCGCTGCCTTTCTCGCAGAATTGTAGAAGTTGTCTGAAGTTCATGATGCTTCAACCCCGCACTCCATAGTTTAAATGCGCTTGCGGAGTCTTCCGCGACCTGTTGGGATGTTTACCAAATATGGAAGTTTCCCCAGCTAAAAGACTTAGCGCCATGCGCTGTACCTCGCTTTCGTACTTGAAAAGGCGGGCGGAGTCACCGCTTCCACCACCTTGGTAGGCCAATTTAAGGTGGTGAGATCCCAAATTTTGACGTCGATATTCCAACGTCAAATCTCACCTTGAGCCTCTCAATCGACAGTCAACTATACTATAGCCAAGATGGTGCCACCAATCCGTACGCAAAAGGACGATAAGGCTATTGCCTTTGCCAAGACTCTCGAGCATGTGCCCTGGTGCGAAGACTATGAGAAGATGGTCTCTGGCATGCTTTACAGCTGCATGGCGCCTGAGCTAGTAGCATCGAGACACCGTGCCCGTCGACTGGCTCAGAAATTCAACACCTATGTTCCAGGAGACGACGAATCTGCAGACGACGTTGCCAACAAGAGAGTGGGCATGATCAAGGAGCTTTTCGGCGGGATTGGAAAAGATGTCTACGTCGAGCCCAGCTTGCAGGTTGATTACGGCTGCAATATCACGGTCGGAGATCGCTTCTACGCCAATTTCAAGTATGTGATATTCCTATGAGTCGACCCATTCCCCCTTTGAAACAGACAAAACTGACCAAGAACCTGTAAAGCTGCGTCATTCTTGACTGTGCTCATGTGACCATTGGAAACAATGTCTTCTTCGCCACAGGAGTCAGCCTCATCACAGCGACTCACGAGACTGCCTTGCAGTCTAGGAGAGACAACATCGAGTATGCAGAGCCCATCACCATTGGCGATGACTGCTGGATTGGAGCGAACGTCACAGTGTTGCCGGGAATCAACATCGGCAAGGGTTGCACCATTGGTGCCGGCGCGCTTGTGAATAGAGATATCCCCGATTACTCAGTTGCAGTGGGTGTTCCGGCCAAGGTCGTCAAGAAGGTAGAACCGGTTGCTTAGACAAATTTCGTAAAATAAAGACATACAATCTGGTATTTAATATGGGTTGTGTCAAGTTGTGAACTAGCCCTGCCTCCCGAAACCTTTCGACCCCTGCCCGGCTTTGCAAAAATCCGCGCTGTAAGTAAACACCGCTGCCCCATCAGTCTAGTATCTGCTTGCTGCAGCCGTGGAATTACGCCGCAGACCCTATTGGCTACATCGATTGATGGATTGCCGAATGCCTGTGATTCGACAAAAGACTCACACGTCCAAGTCTGACACAGGCAAGAGATGTGACGAATCCAAAGCTGGGATCTCCTAACCACCATGACTTGGACTATGCTCAGCTCTTATTTAGCACAAAGCGTTCGACAAACCAAAGATTCGGTATCCAAGAAATGTATCCAGTGATGGACAGCGCAAACTTGACTTCCATACCCGCGGCGATCATCAGAGGCAACTGCCACCGCAGCATCACCGCGGCATAGGTCAGAGCAAAGTTTCTCGTCATCCAAGCTTGATGGCTCTTGATATCTCCATTCGACCGGATGGCCACAATGCTACGCCTAGCGCTCTCGAGCCATCCCAAGGCGAGAAGGCCAAAGCCAACCTTGCCCCATGTCAACGCCTCGCTGTTGAATGTGACGTAGAACGCAGCAATGCCACCAGTCGTCACGGCAAGGACATAGACCCATCCCAACCAGCGATGAATCTGAATGTATCTCTGTCGTAGCTGCGGCAGGAACTGAAAAGGGCCGAGTCCCATGGCCATGAGAGAACCCCCAATGTGAATTACGCCTCCGGGTGAACCTATGATTCTCGCCTTGATTTGTGGATCGCCTGGGGTATTTCCAGTGAAGAATGCAGCGCCGTAAGCTGAAATAATGAATGACGGAATAGCCATGAGCCACCATTGGAAACTCGGCCAGCTTGAGCGTGATCGTTGAGTAGTTCCTGCAGCCTTCCTGGCCAGGGCGCCATGTTGAGATTTGAGTGACGTGACAGTTCGGACATCTTTGGGCTTTGGGTCCTCCTCGATTAGAGCTCTACGGTGTGAAAAGCTTGAGTTAAGCATTGTGTCGTTGCGATGTTGATGTTGTCGTTGTAGGTTGCTATCAAACGCCACGTATGAGTCTATGTGTCTGCGGAGTTGATTGGAGCTTTCTTACCGCTGTTATATGGGATTTTGGATGTGACGCTAGATCTGTAAAGAACTATGCTGAATAGGGAATCTTACATCCCTTTATAATGAAACTGAGTGGGATGACGGATGGCTGTCGTTGGCGGCTAGCGGGGTTCAATGTTCACCGTAGTCCGGCAGGTGGATGTGTAACCGCAAGGTAGTACAGTCAGTCGGCATTTACTGTACGGTCGGCTAACGGAGTATTCTAGATTCTCCTTTGCCGCCGTATAATTTGAACATAGTCTAGTCTTTGGCAGATGTGGAGTTACGTCCTGCTTCTGAGACGAACCCTCCCTACGGCCGCTTGCAACACTCCGAAGATGTATACTGATTTCCCCACTTCCCGTAATCGAACGGCATAACCAGCTTGTCAATCTAGCATTCGTCATTGGCGGTTGTGGGAAGCATATGTATCTGGGTTTCTTCCGTTTAGTCTAGCGGATGGGTTTGGGCCGATTTCAATGGACCAGGCTCTGGTACATCAAACCAATCAAGATTTCGTCATTCTCAGGAATCATACAGAAGCTAAGAGTAGAGCAGGCGATGGGAATGCTGACGTGCCATTGTGTGACTCTAGCGTAGTCAATGTCAATGCTCGCTTTCGCGGGAACGGGCCATTCCTCCGTTTTTCGGCGGACGAACGGACTATTCCGTGTACCAGTGTCCTTGCCTCGATTTTCCTCCAGCAATCCGTGTCTCATATAATTCTGGACACAAAATCTTCTTTTAAAATGTAGATGTCATAGGTCCAGCTCCTCTACGTCGTCTTCGTGAAGTCTGTCTACGCGGTGACAGGTCAGGATCATCAGGTCTCAGCGACACCAGTTGTGACTATGCAAGTGGTGCTTCCCTTCCGGTTAGGTACCTTGATTGAAACTCATCAGTTTTAGTATGCCTGAAATTTTAGAGAAGGAAGAGGCTTAGAAAACTAGCCGAGTTATATCTATCATCGACATCGCTTTCGGCAAGGAAACGAGTCATCCATGTAGCTTAAAGATGGTGACTAGGAATAGACCTCGTTCGTTGGTGTAGCAATTTCTATTTGCAACTTACACTAGACCTCCCTACGAAGGTAGCGTCTTTCGGGCCATTGTTCCACGGTGGATAGAAATGCATTCATTACAAGCAGCCCAGTCAAGATCTATCTCCATTGAGCCACAATAAGTCATTGGCTTAATGCTTTGGATGTATCTAGGTAACAACTAATGGTCCGTTAGGATGAGCAGAATCAGTAGAAGATGACTAGTTCTGGCTTGATCTCCAATGAAAAGTACAATATTAGTCACAAGGACAATATAAGAGCCTCAGTCCCTTCCCTAGCGGTTCGGCTGACAATTTGGCCGTGTGCTAGCTGCACGTTAACGGGCAATCAATTTAGTCTAGTTACTGAGGAGCCATGTCATTGCCAACAAACTAAGCCCAGTTCTGGTTTCTCCCAAGTATGACAAAATCATAAACATTCCAACAAATAGTGCTATTGTCGCTTCAGCATGCTTTCACATGACTAAATGAAGACGTGACCCGCCGTTGGAATCCACTAAATAAAGTTGCCGATGTCAACGTCTATGTTAGACCTCGATCTGTAACAATACCGCAAACTAGTAGACCACAGAAGTTTAAAAACGATGCCGGTATGGTGAGGAGTGCTCAAGTGCACAGCGTCGTTGTAAAATTTCCCCATCCAGGTAGGGCCAACAGGCTGGGAACATCTAGGCTCATGGATTTTGCACTCTGTGCCCGCTCTTGTAAAAGGCATATTCACTCATTGCTTAGGCTCACTTCTGAGTTTCGATAATGATGCTGTTATGAAAGTACGGAGTACGGAGACAGATGATGGGCGCCACATATCTACGGCACTGCCGCGCCAGTAACGGATGTAGTCCGTTGTTCAGCACGGAACCTCGGCAGGGAGATCTACGGATCACCAACTCGAGTCAATACCCTTGAGTTGAAGAACACCGCAATCAAAAAAATCGGGCACCGCCGCAGGCCCGCAGCGGTCGTTTCAAACAACCAATGTGGCTGAGACAATGGCAAGGGCCACGGCTATGGCCGTGTTTGCCTGTTTGGGCCTTTCAGTACAAGTCGCCGACATATTCTTGACCCAAACTAGTTCTGACGAGATCTGCTAGCAATACGAAGATGGCCATAGCTTACCTCTGTACTATGTATATCCGCAGTAGGGCGGCGGAGTCGCTGAAGCTTTGATCATCGGCCTTTTAAATGAGCGAGAACGACTCAGTATCTCCTCCTGTCGATGATTCTATGGAGTATTCGTACCTGCATGGGATCTATCTAGCCAATGGCGGAGCTCTTTGGCTTTGGCTGAGGTCCTCCGGCACCATGTGTTTCAGTCACAATGAGCTGCGCGAATTCACGCCATTTTGAAATAGTTTTAATGATGTTCGACTCCAATTTTCTGTCTGGTCCCTTTCTATAATATATGTACATGTATCATAAACATTCGTATGCATCGTATCATGGTATCTCTGAGCAACCTGTGCTTATTGTGCGCGTTCACTGAACAGCGACGGCGGTCTTGCCAGTGCCGTATCCAATGTTGGTAACAGGCAGGGTGGTCAAAGTCTTGACGGAGCCGAGGCCACTAGGGCAGGCAGCCTGGTTGCTGACAGCCAGGTTGAGGGTGCAGACCTCATCGACACCCCAAGTGCAAGCAGGGTTCTGGATGTTGTAAAGAGCGTAGTTCTTGGCGACGAAGCTATCGGGCTCGGCGAGGCAGGAGGTAAGGTAGTTCATGCTGTTGGCAGCAGAGAGAGGGAACTTGCCGTCCTTGAGAAGGTGGCTGCACTCGCTGGCATCGACGGCCTCCCAGTTCATGAGAACACCGCCGCCAATGGTCGGGTCCTCAGTGGCAGACTTGCCGGTGGTGAGGTAGTTCCAGGCGTCGTAGGAGATGTCGAAAGCACCGCCAGATTGGTCGATGCGGAGGAGGTGAACGCTGCGGTCACCGTTGGAGACCTTAAGACAGATGTCGTTGCAGCTAAGAGGGTTGGGCCAGTAGGCAACGCGGTTGGTGTCGATCTTGCAGCCGAGGACACCAATGGAAGAAGAGTAGGAGTCGTGGGGCGTCATGCTGTATGAACCGGACTTGCCGGCGTCCCGGATCGGGATGGTAGCGGCCGAGACCAAGGTAGCCGAGACGGCAAGGAAGGTGGTCAAAGTGGTAGAGAACATCTTGACTGAAGTTGAAGGTGATATGTGGGTTTCTTTCCGAAAAGGATTGTGTAGTTTATATGGCGGCCAGGTGGACGACTGTCAAAGATTCGAGGCTGAAGGTGGTATGGACTTTCACGTCGAGGGACAGGAAGTTTGGGCTTGCGAAGGAGTGAAGCTGCTGGTTGAGCGTTCAAAAAGAGTGATGCCTGATCTGGGAGCTTTCAAAGCTGGCCGAGAGAATGACTGGGGAAAGAAGAAGAGTTGAAGAGGGAGTGTAAGGATGGTGGTGGTGATCAGAACAAGACCATCCCAGAAGAAGATGAGACTGGGGGATTATATACCAAATATCATCCCTACAGGAGACGAGATGAAAACGTTAAACATCAGCCGGAAAGATGAGATGTCACTCACACGTGCTGGCAGTCAGTGCCATGTCAGGCTTGCTATTCCCTTCGGTCCATCTGCGGAGGCCCACGTAGCAAGGCGCTGTGTCCCCACAGACGCCGCAATCCTCCACGATGACACTGCGCCTGCACAGCTGGACCTGGATCCTTTGAGTCTGAGCCTGGGATGGGAGGGGCCGCAGAGGACCGGAGACGTTTGTGTGCCTAGAGTCTTTGAAGAGAGTCAGCGACTCCAACGGACCCGCAAAGCAGGAGTTGGCGAGTCGGGTTCGTTGTTCAATCAAGGACTGCCATGAATCTGACAGAAAGAGGCCGTGGAACCTTCAGAGAAATCTTTCCCTACCCCTCATTACGCTGCGGTGTTACTGTCAGAAACAAAGTGAGGAACTTGAGTTTAGAAAGCCCTAACGGGAGGCCCAGTCGCGGGAAACATTACACTAGGCAAGGTCCAAGGAAGACACATGGAGTTTGTCAGTTGCTTAGGCGCTGGGATTCAGCCAAAGTCGGAGAGCAGACCAGGAGAAAGACATGGCCAAGGCCCAACAAGGAAAGGGGGGTGCGCTCTGTCAGGGGGTGAAAATCGCTCATGGGTCGCCAAGGGGCCCGGATTAGGTTTAATGACAGGAACGGCTCAGGAACCAAACGCTCTTTGGCTCGTGCTAATCCATAGTTCAGGTCCCGACTCCCAAGTGAAAGGGAGCCAAGGGGCGGTACATCGGCAAGGCGTCGGCCACATCTCATGCCAGCACGGGGAGTTGTGGGCGCTGTGCCTCTTGGAGCCTCGAGGGAACATTGAAAGAGGGGGTGGCCTCGGCGGCCAAGGCCCAAAGGCTGAGAAGGATGGCCTTTGAGATGACGGCGGATGCAGGTACAGTACAACGCAGCGCAACGTCCGGGAACCTGGGCGTATGTACTGCCGAACGGGAGAGCAAAAAGAAACCGAGCAGGCTTGACTGGTTCGAGAGGGAAGGGAACCCGCCGCCACGCGGTTCCAGCCCTGACGCTTGACTCGGCGCGGAGGCGCGGACGGGTCACCCGCAAGGACCGGAGTCTGCTTCTGGCCAGTCGGAAGATAGGGATTCCAACCTAGAAACAAACCACGAGTCCACGACATGCCTAGTGTGCAGCGATCGACAGGGCGGGTTGTGCTACGGTGCTAGTTTTTCACAAAATGGTCCCACAAGGCTCCAATACCCGAGCCTGCTTTTGCTTTTTGCTGTGCCGTTTCGGTTTTTCAAGAACTCCTCCAACAAGTCACAAAGTCACGGACAAGTCTCACGGGTCTCCAACAGGCTCTTCCACTTGCCCCGAAAGTATGGATCACCGGGCACACAAAATTGGAGCCAGTTGGCGGGCGTGTCCGCTTTGCCAACTCGCCAACACCTTCTCCGCGTTGGCAACCGGGCGGGACTTGACGGGTACGTGACGGCCAGTTGGCGTCATGTCGAACAACGGATGGAGGGGTAAGAGGACCAAGACGTGTGTTGAGTGTTCTAGCCAGAAGTGCTTGCAGCTTGTACCAATCTAGCGGGGTTTACGTCTTTTGCCAATGAGAAACTTGGTTTTGTGAGCAGAGGGATTGGAAATTGTTAGAGGCTACTTCTTTTGACGTAAAGGAAATGCCTCGCCGCGGCTCACCGCGACGGCGGCGAAGTGGCACGCAACCGGCTGGAATGCAGGCTCTTTTGCATTCTTTCTTTCTTTCTCTCTGGACAATGCTTTGTAAGTCGTAACTGTCAGATTTTTTTTTCCTTTCCTACATCCCAATAGGTCCGAAAGGATCATTCTGAGCGATTTATGTCCGTACCTTGCCCGATCCCGGCACGTTTCCGAGGTCCAAGAAGTACTTGGAGGAGGTCTAGGCCGTTTCCATCTCATGATATTTCCATCACCGCACATGCACGGAGAATCCTCCGCTGCTGAATTCTGTCAGCGCCATGCTGTGCGACTTCGGCAGTTGTTGGCACCTCACCATGGGCTTAGTCATAATTGTTAAGGGCTCTTTGCCTGGGTAAATTGTTCTTCCTCTCATCGGACATCTTGAGGGATTTCCAATGCCACTATTTCTGAGTCATCCATAGAGAAATCTCTCATGGGTCCTGAAGTCCGCATAGCTGCTGCAAACGGACGGACCGGCGGCTCGACCAACAAAAGTCTCATTGAAACAAACTTCTGCACCACACAGACGGACCACTGAATAAACCAACAGCTACTCTTCGGCAGTCTTGTTCGGTAAAACTCTCGGTAACACGCAAAAAAAGAGGAAGATTAACAACCGGGGCTAACTAAGCTTAAACGAATGGAGCCCAGCCAAGGAACTGAGATCCGACGTAAGAAGCTCAGCTATTTGCAGAAAGTTGCGATTTCCCCAACATCTGAGGCTTGAGCAGTATGCATTCCAAATTCACCGAGTTGTTGTTGGACCCTTCTTTGCAATAAGTGCTCCGACATCGTATTTAACTGCTTTAGTGCGAAGAGTAATATCAGGGTCAGCAGGCATTGCTGCGACTTGAGCAACTGGCGGGGCTGCAACGACGAATTGCAAGGGCGCGGCATCGACTGAAGGTAATGATCGTATGTGAGTCGCATCAACTTCATTCATCGCACAATGCTAAGAAAAGCTGCATTTCAAGCAACTTTGAGATCGGGGTTTTCTATTTATCATTTTCTGGAGTCTTATGACTTTTGCGAATTCTCAAGCGATCATGACCAAGCGACCGCTTGAGTCGCCACCTGAAGTCTGAGCTAGCACCACAACCATGAACTGATCTCTAGCAACCTTGCCCTGAACTGGGTATCTCTCTTTCATCTTCTTCCGTTCCAGCATTCCAGACCATTCCCATTGGCTATCCTTGAGTGTGGGAGACCTCATCAGATCCCCGTTAACAAACACTTGCATCGATGCTGCCTCAGACGAATTGTCGACTTCCAAAAACCCACTGAGAGCGACGTGACGTCTTTCCAAGGTTTCCGTCGAAGCATCATCTTCTACGTCCACACAAGAGACGAGCAACTCCAGCTTCCTATGCTGCTTGACAGAACCTTGATTCGTGTTGACTTGAATCAGGTCCGTGTCTAGCCGTGGCGCCAATGAGGGGCTCTCTCTTCGCTCCTTTGAGGACTCAAACGCATACGCATAACGTAACAGGTCGCTGTCACTCCAGGCCTTGCCCGCGAATGTCAACCCCACAGGGATTTTCTTGTCATACAGCGATCCCATCGGCACAGTGATGGCGGGCACACCCAAGTGCTTCATTGCACGATTGCCATTGGAGTACTTCAACCCGTCTCGTAGGGAGTATGCCATAGACTCACGGTTGTCCTCGGAATCGGCTCTTCCGACGTCGCCATTTGTGGGAAAGACGACAACATCGAAGCCATTCTCGTCCATCCAGTGTTCCAAGTCTCTCTTACGAGCCTCCTCAAGCGCGATCAACGCATCTGCGCAACCTGGCAGATCGTAGATAGAGTCGGGCCTGTCGCGGATGAAGTCAATCATCTCTGCGTACCGGACATGATTCTGCTGTTCGGTGTGCTCCGACCGATCATCCAACGGCGCAAAGTCGGGGTTGATCTGGCTGTGGTCAACGCCTCCCAGAGAAGGGCACTCGGGATCGCTGTTGTTGCGCAGAAAGTCATCCCAAGCGGTGGCAATCATCTGACACCGCTCAGTATCAATCCAGGTACTCGGGATGCCGGGCACATTAGCAGCTTGCCCAGGAAACAGTTGTGTCGAGTAACGCTCGACCAGAGGGAAATCAGTTTCGGTGATTTTAGCACCCAGCGTCTCAAGGTCAAGTCGAGCTTGCTCCCATAGCTGCCGAGTGGCTTCTGAACAGACCACAGAGTATTCGGATGAAGTTTGCTTCCCGATGTAGCACTTGGGCACAGCAACATGCTTTCCTCGCAACGCCTCCGGATCTTTGAGAGATAAATAATCCCTTGGCCGGATCTTGGAGCTGAGTGGTATGGGCACAACCGTCTGCTCGCGCCAAAAGTCACCTCTGGGGTGCGCATCATCGGCAACAATGGCGTTAAGAAGCGCCAGCATGTCAGCGACAGACTTGGTGTGTGGTGCGACAACATCACACGTCGGGTACAATGGCCAATGGCCGCGAGAAGGAATGACGCCTCTTGACGGTGAGTACCCCACCAGCGCGTTGTGCGAAGCCGGCGCTCGACCAGATGAGACTGTCTCACCTCCGAGACCAATAGGGGCGAACGAGCATGTCGTGGATACGGCGGATCCGTATGAAGAACCTGACGCGAAGCTGGTGCACAAGTATTTGGGGTTGTAAGGGCTGATTGAACGGCCGTAGAGGCCTCGCTGACTTCCTCCGTCGGCCATGGGAGGCATTGTGGTCTTCCCAATCAGTACTGCTCCTGCAGCCCTCAGTAGCTCGACGACCGCGGCATCTGAAGACGCAACGAGGCTTTCGAAAGCTGGGGACGCAGCTGCAACTGTGAGACCCTCCACCTTGTAGCTGTCTTTCACGGTGAACGGAATCCCTTCCAGAGGCCTTGGAGGACGCCCTGATGCGCGGTAAGCGTCCGAGGCCTGTGCCTCATCGAAGACTTTGGGGTTGATGATGCAAATGGAGTTGAATGATGGCC